ATAATTTTATAACCCATTTGAGTGGGCTCCAGATTAGGAATAACCTAAATTTCTAGTAAGACTAACTGCAGCAAAACTTTGGTCTGCTGCATTTTATTGAAAAACAAAACAAACAACAAAACCAACAACAAAACCCAACAAATCTACTTCAAATCTATTCCAAAATGTTCTGGTAGACATTAGTTTCAAGCAGCAGCTAGTAGCATTTGCATAGGTCTAGCTTTTATTTGGTTACAAATATATATATTTATATATAAATGCATATACATACATATGTATGTATTATATTAAAATATGCTTTGAATGATAACAATTGAAATAAAGATAACTGGCTCCTCTTTAGGACCTTTCACTGAAGATGTCAAAGTCTGTGCACGGATCTCACCTTGTGATACACATAATGCTCATCTCTGAGATGAGGCTATGCTAGCAGTCAGTGGCAGCTCCATTGAAAGACCCCAGACTTTCTGACTGCAGTCCTGGCTACAGGCTCAGTTCCCAGGGGAAACTCAGAGCCCAAACCTTGACAAGAATTAGAAGTCTCCTGAATTACAGCTCCTTGACTTCCCCCATCCAAAATATTTCCGGTAGAGCAAGAACAGCATTTGGTGTTACTCATCTGCAGAAACACCTGGATGCTGGTAAGGCAAGCATGTCATGGATCAAAGAGGAGAATTTTTATAATGTTGAAGTAACAAGTTTAAGGGGTGCCAATTTTTGTTGGTTTTAAAGATGCATGACTGTCTACCTCACATGCTACCTTCCACCCAAATGAACTGCACCTTTTCAGGTGTCTTTCTATTTATGCATTGGGTTCTGCACGAGAGATGAAGTCAACAAATAAAAGCTACAACTCTGCTCTTGGAAATGCATCATTAGGGTTGCATCACCTGAAGACAGCAGAAGGATTCTGCTGGAAGACCAGACTGCTTAGAATCATTTACTGAAATGGGCATCAAACTTTTAAGTGACAGTACTATTGCATAAAGGTGTGGGACAGCCTTCCCTGGAACAGTCACCTAGCTGTCACAGAACAAGAGCAGGACAGGCAGGAAGATCTGCTCTTGATCTCAGAGGGCTCTGTACCCTCCCCACCAAGCCTGCTCCGCCATGCTTTACAGCAAGATCACAGCTTGTTCTAAATGCAATTTCATCTCTGAAGAGCTGTCAGATAGGAACAGAGGCAGTTGCTACTGACCTCAGCTGGAATTAAAACAGCAGCAGAGATACAAAACACTTTCTATTCTTCCTGCCCTTCAGCCACCCAAACTTCTGGAAGTTAAATCACAGCTTGAAAATATTGTAGAAAAGATGTAAGTAAGTCAAAGGACTGAACCTGATGGCCAGACAATGCTGGGAGGACAAGTGATGGACTGCCCTTCTGCATTGGCTGCCCTGACCAGGCTGATATCCCGGGATCTTATTAAGCGGCTTTAAGTGTGTTCTCAGCCTCCTGTTATAAATTCACATTTCATAAAGCCTCCTCGTTCATCCCTCTCTTAACTAGCTGCTGGAAATAAAAAGCATAGTTTGCTTTCACATACTCCCACTGCAAGACAGCAAAAAGACCTTCTGCTTTTTCCCTTTCCCAGCTTCACATCAGTCATCCTCCTGAGAGGATGAGGTTTAGCTTTTCCCCAAAGCAGCAGCACAGTATTAACACAGTTCTTGCTATTTTCACAGCTATTCACAGGGAGCCTGGCAGCAGCAGGGAATGGCCACGACAACCGTCACGTCACTATACTGTGACTTGGCACCAGGGCTTTCTGCAGGCTTAAGGAGATAACCACAATGATTCACATTTGAAAGGTTTCTCTGACACAGCAAAGAACTAAGAAATGTGTTCTCCTCCAAGAAACAAAACTGCAGAAACAGAGTGTGTTCCCCCTGTTGCCTGAGGCAAGCAAACAAATGGGTTAGTAAGCCCTAACTCTGAAGCGGACAGAAATGTTACACACAGAGGTATTAAAATATGACAGAGTTCTCTTCACATCCTCCTTAAATCACAGTTGAAATCACAGTTTTGGCAGAGGGGAAAAAGCTGCAGCTAGACGTGGAAATGCAAAGCTGTGCCTTCAACCCATCACAGAAGCATTCACACTTGGAAAGTTGGCATCTGATTCTCTACAGCTTTGATGCAACTGTAAAGAGCTACACAGTGTGCCAGTGGAGAGGGAACAGAAGAGGGTTATCGTTTTCTTACGGAAAGCAGCTCCACTGACAGAAATTTCACGTGAGGTTTTCTCATACCGTATACAGCCTCCAACCCCTTTTTTCTTGAACCTTGGCCTTATCTGCACTGAGGAAGTCAGCCACTGAAAGAAAAGTTTAATAAACAATTCCTTCTGAACTGGTTCCATCTCCTAGCGCGAATGGGCCTAAACTGCTTTCAGCACTGTTCAAGAAAACACTAGAAACACCATGATTCCCACACATACATACACATACACATCCATTAAAGGTACAGAAATAATATTAAAATGATTCCCACTACCATACCTTATACTGACTCTAGCTACAAGCTATAAACTTCACCTCAGCAAGGCCCAGGCAAGAATATTGGCTCTTTTGCATGCAATCAGAAATGATCATTTATACAGTGGCAACCTTTGCACCAAAAAAAACCCCCCAAAAAAATCCCACCCAACCCATAAAAGAAAAAAAAAAAAACAAACAAAAACCTTTCACAAGCTTTGTTTTCAGACTAGCCTAGTGTAATATGAAGGACTGATTCCATAGTTTTCACCAGGCCAATTGAAAGTAGCGAATCAGCAAAACAGAATTCACCGCTGGCATCCTGGACTCTTGGGATGCTCCTCCATTCACAGTATCGATACAGTAAAACAAAAACCTGCTAAAGAAACTCAAAGCTGTGCCACATGAATAAAGGCATTCATCATTTTATGTCAGCCCTTCATCATTATGCTTTGATGGATTGGTTGCCATCTGTTTCAGAAAAATGTTGCTTGTATAGCAATTACTGCACCTTCACCCTTCTCTTCACAGCAAGCTTAGTAGGGAAACTTTTCCATTATATTTATATATAATATATGTATATAAATAATTTTATGCTTTTATAGTTTGGTAGTATTCTTTTAAAACTTCTATTTTAATACACTTTTAAATCTTTTCAGCAACTAAAAGTAACTTTTGATGCTTTCTAGTGTGAACAGGATAGGATTTCAAAGTTTTTAACCTTTTTCTTTTTGATTTTTGGTAATTTCAAAAGCTATGACTAAAGCAGCATAGTCGGCACATCTCCACTCCTCCCCACACCTCAATTGCAATGAAACCTACCTTAGCCACCCTCTTATCTTCTGTGACTGCTCTCTGGCAACCTTACTGTTTCGGGACAATCCTGTTTGACCTTCGACAGGAAACCCAGTGGGACTGGTCCCTCAGGTGGCCGCTTAGAAAATCATTCACTGTGTGACGATGCACATGACAGGAGAGGAGGAAGAAGGGACAGAAGGAAAATGGAGATGAAATACAATTTTTCCTCTTTGAAATGGTCAAGGAAATTGTACTTTGCAGATGCTCAGCTCAGAACACCTGCAAAGGTTCCTCTCTTAGGAGCACATCCCTGTTACACATGATCCTGGCACTAAGCCTTTCTCTTCTCCCCACACAAGTCCATTAAAACCACATCTGATTTTGGAGAGACATGGGAGGAACAGTAAGAGCCGTCACTTATTAAAGAGAAAAATATATAAAGTGAGGCAAGAATACATTACCCTTCTCCAAATTCATCCCTCTAAAGGGGCAGGAAAATGATCCTGTGTTCCAATTTTCAGATGGGGAAAGTGAGGGCTGGAGATATTTCAATGTGCCCCAAGTTGTGCAGTCAGCCTGCAGGCAAGCTTTATTTTCACTTGGTAAGTCTCCTCCTGCCTGCCAAGCCCATGTTCTGCTTGCCTGGCTTGCTTTGCCCAAGCAAGATGAAGTGTATTTCTTTTTCTATATCTCTTTGTTCCTCCCATCACCTTAAGGATCAGAACTTCATCCTTCCTTACTGTATACATTATACATCCTCAAAAGAACTCCTTAAACCAAACATCCTCTCCCAAACGCCATCTGCGCAACTTGTTGCTCATTTCCCCCCTGCATCATGAACAACTCAGCATCAGAACCAGAGAAAACTCTTAAGAGTATTGCATATTTTTTAAAAGACTTCTTCAAAAGATGTCAAGATATTTGCACTTATTTACCTGTCCCATGCTTTTCCATTTATGAAACACGTAAGCACGTGCAAACACCTACAAGACACAACGCAGGCATGTCTCTCCGGCCTAAACTTGCTCTAAACATCAGAGCTGCTTACAATACAAAAGTTAAGTCCATGCAAGAGGACAGAGTTGTGATTGCTCTAGGAACCATTCACTTTAAAGTTTCCTGAACTGTTACAAGGAAATAGTTTTTTTTTTCTTTTTGCACTTCATTGATAAAAAAGTTACCAAACTGGTTTGTAGAAACACATTTAAAAGCAACCATCCAGGATTGCTTGGCTGGGACAATAGTATTTCAGTATACCATATTGCTGTTATAAAAGATCAAGTGCGTATTGAGGGAGGAGTAGGGGTGAAGGACGACTTTGGTAGCCAGCCTCTAACTCCGCAATTCAGCCAGTCCTGAAAAACTCTTCCTAACGCTCGGCAACACCTGAAGCAGGCACCAGTCAGGACGTCAGAGTGCTCTGAACTCTCCAGATCTGCAACAGCAAAGGACAACCTCCTCAGAAAGACCCCTCCAACCCTTCTCCCGATGCATCAGAGTCTAATGCAAACCTCAGAGCTGCTAAATTTCACTTTCAGTAGCCGAAGCGCTTCAAATTTTGCTGACCTCTAGAATACTGCTTTATAGTCATGCCCACTTTTAACAAGGGGCTTTGAGGCCACACGCCTGGAAGGGGCAAGCCAAGAGCCCTAAAATAATAGTTTAAGTAAAAATGTAAAGAGACACACCAAAAATAAGACAGGGAAAATGCACTCAGGCAAGGCAGGTTCCACCAGGACAGTCTTTCTGTTTTCTTTAACATGGCAGCTACCTGGGGAAGGGAGAAAGGCAATGGCATCTTACCCCTGAATCCCCCTTGAGCTGGACCAGCAGATATGGCAAAGAGCAGCCCTGCACACTAGGCTCACTGGGTCTGCATGGCTGATGCCAGTATTGCCAGCGGGCCCCAGCTGCTGGGCCAAAATGCTGTTGAGAAATACAAATGACTGCTCGTCTCAGATCACTACGGAACATTAAAAAATGTAAAATCCTGTCGATCCCTGAATAAGAAGTTGGTTGACACAGTTGTTCGGTTTTTCTCCAAGAGGAGGAGGAATAAGGGAGAAAAACTTTCAACACTCTACGTGTGTGTGTGGGGGTGTGTGAGAGAAAGAGAAAGAGAGAGAGAGAGAGAAAGATTTTTCTATTTTGGCAACATCTTGGGAGCTTCCTTCTGTCCAGTGGTGGCATTGCACTAATTACAGTACCAGCCTGCCGGGTACTTTAGAGCCAAAAATGGGAAGACGGTCCTTTCTCCCCAGACTCTGCAGCTGTGTTTCAATCTGGCCCAGTGGTGGACACAGATCCCTGTGCCGTCTCCACAACAGCGACAGCCTCCTCCTGTGGAGGAGATTCTTCCTCTGCCTGCCCCCGAGACGTGACCGTGGTCTCAGGGGAGATGCTGTGAGGCCCCTCCAGAGGCATACAGCCAGGGTGGTTCTTGCGAAAGTGCTGGTTGAGGATGGCCTGGAAAGGGAAGCTTTTGCCGCAGACGTGGCAATGAAAGGGCTTGTTGCCTGTGTGCTTGCGGATGTGATATTCCAGCTGATCCTTGCGGGTGTACTTCTTCCCACACATGCGGCAGACAAAAGGTGTGATACCCATGTGGAGACGCATGTGCCGATCCAGGCTGCCTTTCTGGTTGAAGGATTTGGCGCAGTAAATACAAGTGAGCCGTGGGTTGTACCGGAACCAGCGCTCTGAAACCTCCTGCTCTCGGAGATATTCCACATAACCGCTCACTCCCAGCATGGCTGATTCCTCCCCCTGCGAAGGAAACAACGGAGATTTAAATAACAAGCAGTTTAAAACAGACTGCAGGAAAGAAGATCAGGCCCCAGTCCAGCCAATAAGGCATTGAAACATGTGCCAAACCTCGAAGTCAGCACCACTAATGTCTTCAACCTCAAGCACATATTTAAGTGCTTAACTGGAGCCTTGGGGCTGAAGACAAACGAGTAATCGATTAGAAACCTCTGCTATGGAGGCCCCTTCTGCCAAGTCATTCTCTAGATCCAGGGAAGAAGGCAGCCCCTGCCAGGAGGGCGCTCAGGCACCAATAGAGTTGTGGATCAAATGTGTCAATACATGTTACTTTTTTTAAACGTGGGCCAGTTTGTTTAAAATACTGTATACCAATTCTGGTTTACTTACTAAGGTTAAAAAAAGAAGCTAATTGATGAGCTTGCAGTAAAACAAAGGTGGAATAAATTACAAATCATATCTTACACTCTTCGGGTGTCATTTTACACAGGTATTTATTCAGCATTCATTTTATAATGAATCATGCTTGCCTCAATGGCTGTGTCACCCATCCCAGCCCCACGGCATTACAGGGGAGGATCTGCAGCACAGACAGCTAGCACGCCTGGCCCAAGTCACTCAGCAAGCTGGCTCCTTCTGAAGCCAGAAAGACAAACAGCCAAGGGTAACCCTGAACCATGAGCTCAGGCGCTAGGGCAGACACTTCTGGCTATCATATTTAGATCGGGCACGAACAGTCTCCTGAACGCCTCTGTGGTGGAGAATGTACTATTTGCTCTCTCAAGTCTTACGCTGATTCCCAACAATGCCAAACACACAAGCAACCAGTGTACAGCAGGAGGACCTATCCTCCAGCAACCAGGGCTGTGCACATGTGAGCAGCAGTGTAACTGTGCCAGGCGCTGTTGAATCTGGCTGTACAAACACTGCTAAACCGTTCAGGACTAAAGGATATGCCAAGGCTATGGTACTTTCTTTCCACTCTACCACTGCCACTGGGCAGGGATCATGGACAGACTATTTTTAGCATTGATAATGCAATACCAGAAGAGTAAAGGATGGTGATAACTTCCCTGTGTGTATGGCAGCCTATCATTTTACATTTGAGGCCATCTCACAATGGATAACTAATAACAACTTTTCTGCACATACAGCTAAAATTGCTTTGTATGTCACATTTGCCTTGGAGGGTTAGTTTGACCTGAAATTTTCTAGACATGTTCTGAGGACACAAAATAAGCTTAGGCAAAATAGGAACAAAATGGTATTTTCTGTTTTATGGAAGTGTATTACAAAATTAGCAGACATGAATCATGATTTCTTTCCCCTTGCTTCACTTGGTCTTACTCAAGGGCAAAGTAGCCTGGTAACTCCTCACCTGCCTCTAGCAAAGTCATTTGATTACAAACTGACACATTACTTATCTGCCAGGCATACAAAAGTCATTCTACATGGTGTTGGATGACACACTTGCACTACAGTGGCACTGTGATACTGACTGAATGCAACAAAATATTAGACAAAATTATTAGGAATAGATTAGGAATTACCACTGTGTGCCACTTTGCTGCACCCTGTAGCCCACTGCCCTCCTGTGTTTCTGCGTATCTCTCCCTCAAAACTGTGCCTCTACCTCAAGAAAGCAGAGAATTCAGAGCTACTTTATGTTGCAAATTCTGCTACGCAACATAGTCCCTTGGGGATGAGACAAAGACATCTGTACAAATCCACAGTCTTTTGACACTGCACTCTAAAGGCTTATTCGTGTAGTGCCTGGAGGACTTTATGGAATGGGTTTGGTACTAGCATGGAAAGGTTCAGCTTGCCACCCCTCAGTCTTCCACACAGGCCAACTAACATCTCCTCCCTCAGCTCAGGCATTTGCTGCCAGTGTTTTAGAGCAGATTCAACTTTGCAGGCGAACGGGGTTCCTCCCCAGGATTTGGTGGCCTGCCCAGAAGGAGGGTTAATATTTATGCTCTCAGACAACAAGATAAATTCCTTGTGTTTTCCAGGTATCTGGCCAAAATCCCAAATGACAGCCAAAATCAGCTTTAAATCACATACGGATGGCATATGTTCTCAGTGTGAGCAACTAAACCCTTTGCAACAGTAAAAGGTCCTTGTTTCACACACAGTATTACTTGCAAATACAAAATATTAAGCACTTCACCACAAAACAGTTCCCTTCACCTTCAATGCCAACACTTACTTGCAGACTTCTTGATCTGCCTACCTGGGAACTGGGCTGCTTAGGCTCATCCATCCGCCCGGGAGACTCGCTTTTTGATCTGTACCGTTCAGTCACAGCAACCATGCTGCCAGAAGGGCTAAATCTGTGGGGTGGATGAAGAGTGTAAATGGAGTCTTTAATGGGCATCAGGTCACTATGGTGTTTAGAACAACAGATGAGCAATAGAGGCACCTGTATAGCATCTCTTCATCCTCACCAGCTAACACACAGGAGGTGGAACAGCACAAGTATAAAGGAAAAACCAAGTCATACTGGTCTGTGGTTTCAGTCTTAACATCTGAAAAATAAAACTGAGTCATTTGGCTTCCAGTTGAGTAAGAGAGAGCTTTTCAGTTGCTATTGCAAGTAAATTGATACAGGCCCAGTGACTCAGGAACTGGACAACAGGAGAAGAAACCATTTCTGTAAGGGTACCCCTCATTCACCATTCCCACTCCTCCCCTTTCCAAGTGTGAAAGAAAAGTGATGTGATGGACTCCAGGTGGGAAACAGTGGATACTGGCTGCAGCGCAAAAAGAGATGCTCAAGGCTAGCTGATCCATGGAAAAGAGTTAAGGAATTGGGAAAGGATCACTCTCCCAAGGCCCAGCTCAAGGTCATTCCCAGTGATTGATTTATTAAGCAACAAGCGACAGAATATCCACTGCTTCCAGGTAGCTGCTTCCCCATGGGACCAAAGGGGTTGACCTAGAAGAGAGGCAGATGTGAACGGAAAAAACAAACACAACCCCCTCGAACATTACAGACCTGCCCTTTATCAGATCCATTCTTTGGTCTGAGCTAAGGGCAAGAAAACAAATGATGGAGTGGAGGGGAAACAGTTGGATGGAGAATCAAAGCACAGCAGATTTCACCACCAATTTTCAATAAAAGCTTTCTGCTCTTTCATATAAATTAAAACAGGTGGAGGCAACTGGGCTTCCCACTTCAATTGCTTCAGAAGATGCAACCCCACAACCCACTGCTGCCCTGGAACACCAGGAAGAAAATGTCCTCTTGACCTACTGCTGGTGACCAGCTTGTTTCTCAGATAGAACCACCCCCAGATTTTCAGACCAGAAGGCATTATTGCAGTTACACTTTGCGTAACAGATACTGTACGTGACCTTGTTAATCCTGATGCTGAGCCCTGTACCTACTGAGGCTGAACTGAACATGCTCTTTAGACAAAAGTCACCTAGGTTGACACACCGAGAGGCAGAGATTCCAACCTATGCACCTCTCAGTGCTAGTAACTCCCCAAGTTAGCCTGTACCTGTAGATGCTGGCCTGATCACTACCCAGCCAAAATACTACAACCCAAACCGGATACGCTTCCTAACACCAGGAAAAAAAATCCTTCAGCACTTATGCTTAAGATGGCCACAGGAAATAGAAGGGGAAAACGTTCCAAAATGAGTTCCAATCCAGCCAACTGAAAATCTTGAACAATCTCCTCTTACAGCCAAGGTCAGTAATTAAGTTAAAGAAAACTCACCTATCGATCTCACTGCTGGTTGGCCTGACCACTTTGGCACCTGAGGATCCTAATGCGTAAGCCTCTTGGCCCATTGATCCATGGCCTGTGGTGTCGATCACCATAGCAGTGACCTCCTCAGCACTGCTCCCATCTTCTCCCGATGGCTGATGCTCTGCCCCAAGCCACTCCTCCAGGTTCTCGGTTTTAATGCGTACTCCTCCCAGCACCCGGACGTCGTCGTCGTTCCGTCCCCCGCGGTCTCCCATTCCCGTCTCAACGTACCACTGTCCTGCTCTGTTAATTCGTAGTATGGGCTCCCTGCCTTCCACGTCCGAACTCTGCTCAATTATCTGAGGGCTGGTGGACTCCTCAGGTGGGCTGAGCTCCCGAATGTCCAGCACGGTGCTAACCTGGCCCAGACGACTCCCCTTTGGGGTGTTGTGACGCGGGCTCAGAGAACGGTTGAGATTTGGTGTCACCCGGTGAGACTCCGGTGGTCTCTCCTGATGCTTTGTCCTGGTCTGGCTCAATTCCGCTTCCACCTCTGCCACGTTAATTTTGAAATGAATTCCCTCAAGTATCTGTGTGCATTTGTCTATGATGTGCTGCATCTGCAAGAAACTGGCGGCCGTTAGGTAACTGATGATGTCGGCCAGCTGCAGACATATCCTACCGGTGTAACAAAAGGAAAGGAGCTGCTCAAAAACAGAAGGGTTCTTGATGACAGAAATGGAAACGGTGCTCATTTCGTTCAAGGACATGTGGTCACGGAAGTAGGGCGAGCTGGCAGCCAGTACCACCTTGTGAGCACGGAAAGCTTGCCCCTGCACATTGACCACAATGTCACACAGGCGACCCTGCATGCGTAACTGATTCAGGTGGTTCAGGACAGAGTTACTGAAGTCAGGAATCTCCAGCTGAATGTTCCCACTCTTCTCCATGGCTGTCTCAGTTGCAGGAGAACAACCCTACTGGAAAGGGCGGGGGAAATACCATTGTTAATATCACTAGTCTATCATTTGCATTTAAAACATTTTTCACATTCTTTCATGCAGTTTGGAATATTGGAATTTTTAAAGAACTTTCTCACCATTTAATTTACAAGCGCCTCGCAGCAGTTCTCTGATCTTTATGTGCTGTACAACACCTTTCACAAGAGTTATGTTAAACCAGTCCCCTACAGATCTCCATTCCCTGTGGTGTAAGTGCTCAAAACAGTTTGTTCTGTCAGCCGCAGTAAAAGCACATTTGCAGTGTAAAAAGAACATTAAAAATGGTTCACATACTAAAAATAGGCAACTGATTGCATAATGGATTAAAATACTTAGCACCTTCTAAGTACTTTGAAAAAGGAAAGTAACTTGGTTTTTCCTCCTTTGTAGAATAAGAATTGGGAAGGAGACATCAGTACCTAAATCCTCCTGAGATTTTTCAAAAGCTGACCAGCACATATTTGACTGCAAGGCATCTTAAGCACATCACTAAACCCAAGATATTCATCATATGTCCCATCTCTGCCACATGGCAGAAAATATATAACAGGACAGTGAAAAAAACACCAGCACCCAGTTCTAAGCACCAACTTATCAGACCATCCACTGGGCACAAGTGACTTGCTGGCAAAAGAATACCTAGTGTTTGTGTAGGCTGAGGTATTGCACACAGTAAAGGACAACTTAGGAACAACGGGGATTAACAAACTAGCTCTCCTACTTCCCCTTCCATAATTCATTTTTCTATAATCATCACATTTCATTTTGGCAAAGTCTGAAAAGAAGCCCTGACTATATATGGTAAAAAATCAGAATGATCCAAAATTAGATGTAAACTTGCCTAAAAAGAAAAAAAAAAAAAGGAAAAAAAAAATTATTAAAGACCACTCATGGCATGAACAGCTTCCAAGCTGGATGGAATCTCAAGTGTCCATTAAGCAGAGTACTGCAGATATCAAAATAATTCCAGGCAGGCTGGGAATACCGAGGCTCATAGTGCCTGGTATGAGAAATCTCCGAATCCCAGGGACTAGCAGACAGGAAAGCATGTGTGCCTTCAGAGGATGTTTTCGGTTTTTAATTTATGAATGCTGCAGGATAGCGCATGCTCACATGCCCAAGCAGACTTTGTGCAAACTTGGCAAAATATGTTACTAAACCTGAAGCTGCAGGACAGCCTGTCAATCTTGTGAAGTCATGCAGAGACTACTAAATGGCTGGACGGCTCTGTGTCTCTGGGGTAGGTGAGATGAGGGGGTGCACAAAACTTCACAAGGTATAGCTTAACAGTGCCATGTCTCAAGGCTTCTTCTCCCCTTTCCCAATCTTTAGAAGGAAACAATAAAAGCCACAAAAGGTCCATGCCAAAACAACATTAAGAGCAGAACTTCAAATGCACAAAACAAGGTGAAACAGAAAATCTGATGTCTTACCGGTAACGTTACAAGGAACATGTAGAGGGAGGAAATAGGGGTGCTATCTTGTTATCTTCCTTTTTTCTTCTGATGTAGTAAGAAGGTCTGAAAACTTTTTGCCCCCTTCCCCTTTAGAAGGAAAAAAGAAAAGAAGAAAAATATGTAACACAGAGGAACAGGGTAATCTCAAGCACAATTGAGGACATCAAGCTTCGTCATACTTTGTTTTGCTGGAGAATACAGCAGCAGGACTAGCTAACCATTTACGCAACGTCCCACCCCAAACCACAGAGACACACCGAGTCTTATCAAATTGATCTTTCCCCACTGTCTGCTCAGTGTTGAACAGATAATCATTAAAACGAAAAATGGAGGTGCAAATAACCCAAGTAGGTAATTTTCTCTCTTAAGGGGCTGGTATCTCTGGCACTAACCCCGCAGCATTTACACAACCCAGTGTTTTCCTCAAATGAGCTGTCTCATTTACACCATTAGGAACATTCACACAGCCAAAATCACATCGAGCATGTGTAAATGTTTACAGGACTGGGGAGACTGTAATCTCATAATCTTCTCAAACCACCCGTTTCTAAAGCAGTAAACTCCAAAGTGTTCTCTTAAGGAAAGCAGGCAAAAGAAAGGCACGTGGGCATCCCTGGTGAAGTGAAACACCCTGCTGAGGCAGCGAGCACGCAGAAAGGCTTGCTAGCGGAGGTGAGCCTGGAGGCAGAGGGAGGCAGAGGCTGACCATTTGTTTCTCAGAGGGTCAGCTTGGGACATACAGAAAGAGAAGGGAAAAAATAATAATCAGATTTTAACTGCTGAGTGTGTCTGTGTACGGCCCCAGTCAGAAGTCAGCTGCTCCCAGGGGGGCCTGAAAAAGTATTTGTGAGCTTCTGCTCCAAAGGCAGGGAAAAATCCATCCACTGGTGATGGCAGGAGAAAAGGACCCACCTAGCTTCAGCTACCTCAGTATCAAGAAAGTGTCATTTTATGGTATGCTTTGTGGGCAACCTTAGTCATAAGCTGGTGAACGGGAATCTAGCTTTTTTGTTCAGGTCAGCTTTGTTATCAGATGATTTCTGTCCTCCCGGGTACAGGGTCGATCATAAGCTTATGCACCTCAGCCAGCAGTGCAATGACATCTCAAGTTTTGTCTTTCCTGGTGCTGGACTGCAAGTTCATCATCTCAGCCTTCACCTGCAGGATGAGTGGGATCTCCTGCTGAGCAGTGCTCTTCACAAAGAACATACTGAGACACTTATCTATTTTTAATACAATTTAAAGTGTCACCAGCTGAGGCTTTGACTTTTATCAGAAAATGCCTTTCACCCTGTGAAGCAAGTGCAACTACCGAGACCAGGAGAAACATTCCACCCATCAGGCCCTTCTGAAAAGCTGGGACAGACCAGCTGCAGCAGATGATGCTCACTCTGAATGTATTCTTTGTCAGAGAACTGTCAAGCTGGGAAACTGCACAGAGGAGGAGGTGGAACGAGAAAGTCTCAGCTTTTGGGACTGAGATTTATCACAACTGATCAACTGGACCAATTTCAAATTATGATACAACCTTAGTAAAGATGAAAACAATAGCAGTTCTAAATTGAGATGAGAGATGCTGCCTTCCTCATCCTTCCCTGCCTGAGTTAAAAGAGCAAATTTAACAGTGCTCGGGTTTCCCCCTCTGAATCTCTCACAAGTGATGCCTCCAGGCCCCTGCTCCCGAGGCGATTACGGTTCATTTTTAGCCCTGACAGCTGCCGGGAGGTGCCCGAACACCCGAACCCGGGGGTGCGTGGAGAGGCAGGACCGAAACCCGCCCTCTCCTCATCCCGCGGGCTGCACCTTCCCCACGCCGCGCCGCCCGTGGGACTGACAACGCACCGCTCTCCTCCCGCGGGGGAGAGCACCGGCCGCGGGGACGGAAAGAGCCCGGGGAGGGTCGCGGGGCCTCTGGGTTGAGAAGAACCCCGCCGGCGGGGGACCGGCGACCCCAAGGGAAGGAGAAGCGGTGACGGGGTGCGGCCGTGCTCCCCGGCCCCCTGCGCCGGCCCCCGCGGGCGTGACGGCGCCACACGGGCGGGGCGGGCTCGGCCCTCGCCCCGCCCCACCCCGCCCCGCCCCGCCCGGTTCCGCCCGACCCTGCCCGGCCCGCCGGGTCCGCACCGCGCCGGTTCCTACCTGGCGGGGGTGGGAAGGGCCCGCAGCACCGTCCCGGAAGCGAAACCCCCCGAGCGGGCCGCACCCCGGAAGAAAATTCCCGCCCGTGAGGCCGCGGCGCGCATCGCTCCCCGCCCGCCGCCGCGCCACGGCCTCACGCCACGCCCCTCGCAGCCACGCCCCTTTACGTCAGGGGGGCCGGGCACCGCCCCCCGTTCCGTGCACACGTGACCGGCGGCGCCAGTATATAAAAGGCGAGCAGGAAGACCTTCGTCCTTTTGGCCTGTAGCTGTGGCTTGTCGCAGGAAGGTGTTAGCTTATCCCGGTGAGTGGGGTTCGTTTTCCGCCCGGTGCAGGCCCATGCCGCGCCGGTGGGCGGTGTGGAAGCCCTGTGTGTGGGCCCTGATCCCCTATAGGCGCTAACAGGGAAGGATGGCGATGGATTGGGTCGCCCGGGCCCGGTCTGCGGCCTAGGCCGCGGGGGCGCTCTGGCGGGGCTCCGCCTCGTGGCGGCCCTGCGAAAGGGGTGAGCAGGTAGCGAGGCTCTCAGTTGGAGTAATATGGGAGACGTGGTCCCATGGAGCCTCTATATGGGCCGCGGGAAGGGGCGGCCTGCCAGCGCGGGCCCGTAGCGCTTCAGGCTTGTCATTCCGCAGCTGTGTGGGAGTCTGGATGTGAGCGCTGCGGAGAGGCTGAGCCTGAGGCCTGCGCTCGGATTTCATGAGGTAATAGCTCAGGGTACCTCATTTGCATTGTGTTCGCTCTTGGGAGCCCTTTTCCCTGGGGAATGCACCTGGATGATGGTGTGGTATGTGCCTGTTACAGAGAAGAAATGTTAGGTTCTTTAGCTTTAGAATTAAAAGGCCCCATGTTAAAAATGTGGTATAATAGCTTACTTGAATTTCCATGTGCCTGCACGTGATGAAAACTATGTTGGTAGGGACATCTGAGAGGTTGATGAATGCCAACATATCTGAGCTGGGCATGGAATAGTGTGTGGTGATGTGTCTGATAGGGCTAAAACAGCATGTGGTCTTTTCTGAGCAGCCCATGTTAATGGCTGTGGGACTGGCGTGGTGATTATACATTGAAATTGCAGCTGTGGAAAATGACAGAAGTTCAGTAGTTCTGTTCTGCTTAAAAACACTGGCAATTATTTTTTGGCCTTGTCTCTTAAAAGAGCTGAAATGTAGATTGAACTAGGAAGAGCTTTACTCAAGTTCCAGAGTATATTGGTTCTTAGTAGGACTAATGGATACTTTGTTGTTTTCAGTTCAAGATGCAGCAGCTACTTACACCATTTTCTCTTATGGCTTTGAAGCAGGTAAGTGTTGTGTCTAAAATTAAATTTAATTTGAGAAATGGTTAGGTACACTTACAGCAACTTAGCCTGGAGTACTTTTGTATTTCAGAGAACTACAGGAATGGTGTTTGTAATCCAGTAATTGCCTGTGGTATTTCTTCAGGCAATCTTCTCTCTTCTACTGGGAAAAATCACCTTCTTTCTACTGGAAAGTGGATGTTAGGCTGCTGTTTCTGAAGCACTAATTATGCTGTACCCAAACTACAGTAGTATTTAGGTGCCTTTTTCCTTCATTACTACTGTTCACAGCAATAAGTAGCTTGCTGTTTAAGGAAAACTGCCTGATGCATGTTTCAAAAACGTGTGACTATCAGAATTAATGTTAACTAAATCAGAGCCTATGATGGTTTCAATACAAGAGTAGTGGACAGAAATGATTTCTGAAAACTCTGTGCTGAGGCTTTTTTCTATATTTGATGTCACTGCCAGAGATAGTCCCCCTTAGTTCTACAGGTATCTGAAACTTCTGTCTTTTTCAGGTCTGCCATGGAATAAAGAAATGTGATGCTACTACAAAAGGTAAGAAAAAAGCCTATTAAAAATTCAGCCTGAAATTGTGATTGTTTATCTAGACAGTATCTTTCGTTCTAATAACATTAATAGGCAGACTTTTCTCAGTTTTCCCTCCAGTGCCACAATGATGACACTTATTTGCTACTCTTGACCAAGAGAATGATGAGCACTCTTACCACCGTAACTTTTCCTCTGAGGCACAGCATCTTAACATTCCCCTTGATGTTTTGTCTTAAGAATGTTCTGTTGATAAGCTTTTTTTTTTCTTCCAGTATTTGAGTCATATACTTAGAAGACTTGCAGAAGAAACATCTGGTGAGAAATGTGTAGTCTACGTAGGGGTTCCTTCCATGGAGCTGTGGAGAGGGTGGAATGTAAAATGGGAAAAATATTTTGGGTTAATTTCCACTAATACACAGAAACAGTTGTTAATTGGTAATAGTAAAACTCTTGAATATTTGTGGCTTATTCAAAGCTGTCACAAGAAGTGATTGTTTAGTTTCTTGTTGCAAAGCAGATACAGTGATGATGGCATAGTTCAGCAGAATATTCTGTGACGAACAGTTTTGTCTTTCGCTCCTATCTGAAGTGTCTGTTGTGATCTTTTGCTTAGGGGGTGTTGCTTGGCTGTGAAGCCTGAGGGAATCTGATGGGTTTTTTTCTTTTGTTACAGGTACTGGGAAATGAAGCTATAAACTGTGCAAGGTAAATAGTGTATTGCCTGCATTTGTGAAAGCTCATTTATATCCCAGATGTGTGGAAGGCTGTGTGTGATGACAGCATAGTTCAGCAGATGACTCATGGTGATCATGCAGTTACTGTCTTTCGCTCCTAGCTGATGCAGCCTTCTGCACCTTAAGCTGTTGGACAATTCATGAGGAAAGCTGAGGGTGAAACCCACTTTAGCTCCATGGATGTGTTCCAAAAATTTGTTTCAGAAGCTAAAAAATTTAGAAGGATAAAGGGTAGACTTATGTTTGTGAAATTAAAGAAAAATACAGCAGAATAAATCTACTGCTTGAGTAACACAGTCTTGATTGATCTGGTTGCTGTTAGTGTTGCAACTTCTGCAAGTATTTTCTTGTTTGCAGGCTGCTCTTGATGGAGGGTACCTGTGCCTCCAGTGTGAGAATATTTCACCTGTTTCTAATGCTTGTGAAGACAAGGCCTTTCTAATTGAAGGTAATTGAAAAACATGTTTTTTTCTGTTGGGTGGATGCTGCATTTGGCTGTGCTGCATTTGAACTTGGGAGTTTGCTTTGAGAGTCTGCAAATCTGATCCTGTTTCTGGAAAATCTGAAGCAAATAGTAGCTTAAGTGTGCCTTCAGATCCTTTACACTTCACAAAAAAAGCATTAAATAATTGTTTTAAAATGGGCTCAATGAGGCTAACTGGTGAATGCAGCTGTGCTATGAATTTAGTGTTTGAAAAGTTTGTTTTCTGGATGTAGATGGTTACACAGTTCATGCGACTGAGCTCTGCAATTTGAAGGTTTGCTCCTGTCTGCAATTTCAGCAGTCTCTGGAACTGAGAGTGCTGGGAGATGGCTTTATTATTGCCTTTGTGGAAAAGGGTGGGAGTGTTGCAGTGTACTGTAGATGATGTTGAATCAGGTCTCTGATCCCTATGAGGATAAAATGTGACTAAACACTGTTACAGTATTTCATTGGAACAGTTCTTATGTGAAAGCTTTCTGCTGGACCTTATCTAATAGCAGATTTTTTTTTTGCAGGCTTCCAGAGTTTGTCATTGCAATGTAAGTACTTGTTTTAACTTTGTAAAAATTAGCATAAAAAACCACCTAGAATGAAGTATGCAATTGCATGTAAGCTTGGTGGGGGTGAGGTGTGTAGGACAAGGGGCCAGTGTTGACTGCTGTTTGCATCTCAACCAAAACAGGAGGATGCTTAAGGGGAGACCTACTGGGTAAGGTGCAGCCTTGACAGGCCTTTCGTAGCTGAACTCTCACTGCCTGTGAGCTCAAACATGGCACTGTTTGTGTATTTGCCTTTTTCCACATTGCAGTGTTAGCTTTAAAGCAGCAGCAGATAGCTGTCTAGTAATTTATGAGCTGCCTGTGTGATGAGATATGAGTACCTTGACTTCAGTCATGGAGGTCTGCAATTAGCTCTATCTGACTTCAGGCACCTGCTTAGATTTGATTCTCATGTGCTTGCTTGTGCTTGGTCCCAATGCTTTGCTTTGTTCCAGGGCTGCTGTGGTGAAGCTGTGAAGTAGTGCTGTTGTAGTCTATCAGCAAAAGTAAGTTGCCAGGAAATGCATATGGCTGGTCAGAGCTGTGTGATAAGTGATGGGGAAATTAATAAATGCTGGCCTCTTAATTGCAGTGTAGCTGAAGCATTTTGAAGGTTCCTGGAAGATTTGCCTCTACCAGTAGATCACAGATTACCAACAGCCTACAGGGTTCATTTGCCCAAGGTGCTAGGGACTGAATCTCGTACTTTGAATAGAGACAGTACTAAGATAGTTATAATTCCAGCAGTAATAGACATAGTTTCTGGAAGTCTTAAGGAGGCTCTGGAGTAACATAAATATTGGGCTGACATTTCATTTTTCTAATGGTTTATCCTAGATTTGAGAATGGGAGAACTGCTGCATGCTTTGTGACAGATGATTCTTCCTTGGTAAGATGCTTCTCAGTTGCCCCAAGAGAAAAGAGAAACCTTTTTTCTATTATTTGAAAATCTTTACTGCTTTTTGCAGCAGAAAAGAAATAGCATGGACCCCATTGAAATATATAACTGCTTTGGGGTAGGGTTACTAGGAATAAGAATGTCTGGTAACCTGGCTGTGCAGAGCCTGTGCTGACCAAAGCTAGTACAATTATTTGCTGGTTTAACTTTGCTGGTTAAATTTAGTAGGCTTCTGCAGGGAGCAGTGATGTGAATCAAGATGTAGTTGGGAATAAGGTCTGAAATGCTGAGGTCTGGTCCACCTCAAAGGAGAAACAAAGTAACAAAATACGAAGCTTCTCAAAGCATGTACTGTTTGTGATGATTAATTCTAATCAATGGGAATCTCTCTGAAAGAAGCTGAGGAGGACTCTTGTGCTGAAACAGTACTCACATTCATACTAACTCTTGAAGCACTGCCAAGGAGAATGTGTTAATAGAATTTCACTTGTTACAGAGTGAAGCTCATGAGGAGTTTGTGTGAGGAACAAGACTAACTCATGTCTGAGGTAAGTGTCAAGTAGGTCAGGTTTGATAATTACTGTAATACTGGTTTTCTGCTAAGTGCCTAGATTGTGGTGCCTAAAATTATTCATTACTCCTATAATAGATCAGATTTGTCTTCCTGTTGTATTCTGATTATCTCACTCAGCTACTGTGGAAATAAATGTGATGTGCTTGAAGCAAGAATGCATTTCTGTGTAGGTCTGAGTTGGACTTAAAAGCAAAAGGCTCTTTCTGGGCAGATAAGACAATTCCTGAGCTGTAGTCAGTAGTAAACTCTTTGTAGTTCTTACAGGAAAAGGTATGGCTTCAATGACTAAAAACTGGGAGTTTATTATTGGATGTCTGCACATTGGAAATAGTAAAGGAGCCGAATCACTGGAGACTACTTAGCCAATGAGGTGTTGATAGTGTAGTACAACAGAATGCACAGTAGCAAAAAAATAACTCCTAACAATTCATATTTATGTGGTTGCACTCTGAAAAAAAAATCAACCTATAGGCTGTGGTCAGTCAATAATTTTTGCTAATGTTGGCACTACGCAAATAGAATCGAGTTCTGGGTAATTGCTGTACAAGTGTGCTTCCTTTAACAGACTGGTTCTAAATTTTAAGGATAGGTTTTCAAGGTAATTTCTATGAGACTTCTATTTTAAATATCAAAACTCAATGAATGTAACAATGGAGAGAGAGTATCACAAGAAAATAGCTTTGTACTTTTCCCCCAGTTCTTGCAATAATAATTCTGTATTTCCAGTTCAGTTAGGATTTGTAACTTTGTATATCCTATTTGGGTGTTACAAATTGAAGTTCTTAGTTGCCACCTGAAGTGCAGCCTCCTAAGTAAAGTTAGAGTAGAATTTCATAGATAATTAACCTTGCATATAGTGATGTCTGTTATTCTGAAACAACTTTTCTCTTTCGCAGGAAAGGACTGTGCCATCTGCAGCCTCATTGGGTAAGACCGCACAGCAGATGAATTCTGTTAAAAAAAATATGGGGATATTTGTAGCCACTGATGAAATTTGATTCTGCCAAATGAATGACTGTGATATTACACTTTCCGTTCCACTTTTCTCTGAGGTTACAAAGTTGCTGTGGAGCTTTTAGAGTTGTGCTACTGCAAGATTTAATTGTGGTTTCTTACTCCAGGTGAGGAGGCAACTTTGAAATTACTCTATGAAGAACTGAAGGTGAGTATAACTAGTAATGATGAAATAAGTTTGCTGGAATGAATGATGATAACCTTAGCTTGAACTCTCTCGCTGAACAGAGATGAAAATCTAAGGTCTGAGTTGTTCCAAGCAAGTTTATTGTACTGATCTGATGCCTTATAATGGTTCTGTCTGTCTTAATAGGTGGAAGATTGCAGAATAATGCATTAACTTGCATGAGCAGCACTAAAAAAGCCCAAGAGTTCTTTTACTCACACCAGTTATGTTTCACTGATGGGTACCAATAAAAATCTGTAAACTCTACCTATTGTTGTGAACTGTTTTCTGATTAACAGCTTCCTGTAAAACACCTCTTGGCTACTTGATGAAAGCTTCAAATGCTTTTAGAGCAAGGCCTAAACTAGTTGGAATGCTAGTCCTGCAAGGGTCAAAAGTGTCAGATACTGCTGGTGTGCAGACTGCATAACCAAACAAAGATTTGGACAAAGCTAAATCAAAGTAGTAATTAGTATGTTTTCTCATAACTAAACACTGTTTGTGTATTTTTCCTGAAAAGTTTTAAAACAAAGTCACTGCTTGTGAGGCCCTGAGGCCTGCTAAGGTATTGCTGCTTCCCAGAGCTCATTAATAGGAGGTTTTTCTCTGAAAAATTCATTTAACTTCCCCCATATTTCTGGTATCTCAGGGGTGATACTGATATGAGAAGTCAGCTCTAGGAAGAGCTCATTCTCTATAACGTGAGCTAATGCTATAGTACTTCTAATGAGAAGTAGAACTAAACATCCGAGCTGTTCTGCAGGAATATTTTCACATTACTGGTGTTCCCTAGAACCTTTCGATAAGAACAGGTTTGTTGTATCTCCACTCCCTACAATCTACCTCAATTCAAGCTGCATCTTAAAGAAAGCTGATATCTTTAGCGAGAAAGCATTTCATCCTACAAACAATTAGGCGTGATCTTGTGTTCAGGTGGAAATTAAACCTCTTCTGCATTAAAGCAAAAGCCATTAATAAGGTGGTTTTCTACATCCAGAGATGATTAGTAGCCTCTTGATCCCCCCCCCCCATTGTATTACTTTTTAAAATACCACACTTCATTGTGCCTGTTAAAGAGCTTGAAGGGGCTGTCATAGCCTGCAGTATAGAAGAAGTCTTCATGGAATGGTTGGCCTCTGCTTTTTAAGATTCTGGCCAAGACTTCAGCTTCCTCAGCATATTTTTCAGGGGAGGCAAATCCACCAAAGGACCTGGTTAAAGGAAGAGAGCTTCTGTTAGGAGTTGAAATGCCTGCTTTTTATTTTCACAGATAGAAACTGCATGCAGTGTCTGAGCACTTCTGATGCAGTTTGTAGTTACTAGATAAACTATGTGGAGCTAGCTGTCAGGGAGCATATGGTGGTGTATGCTATTTTAAAAACTTAGAATTAAAAATAAACCCCCCCAAAATAAGTTGGTTGCACTTCAGGGAGTATTAGCTGACAAAGGCTGTTGCCTGAGACTTTATTACATGCAGGTGGAAAGCAAGTGTAACTTGCATTTTCTGTAACAAACTGCTGGGCAGGTTTTGTGAGGGTCTGGAACTACAGATGAGAAGGTCCGGAGGAGTGATTTAGTTGTCCTGTAGCTCAGAATACATCCAAGAGGATTCTGTAGGCTGCATTTCTATAAAACCCACAGTGCAATATGGGTAAGTGCTGAGATGGATGTTTTGAAGCTTGGCAATTTCTTTGTTCTTGGGACACCCAAGCTTAGATTTCCAAATGCTCAGGTTTTCCTCTTCAAGGCTTTGAACAGCAGGAGTATATCCATGGTTAGAAATAAACTCTTTAAAAGAGTGTTCCAGATTCTTAATGAGCCCCTTTCTGTAGCTGCCTTCATTTATGAGCTGTGCTGGTGCTGCTTACCGGACAAAGATGGCTGCTGCCTTCCTCTCCTCAACAAAAACATCGGAGTGAGTGGGCTGTGGTGGGGAGTCCTGATGTTCAAATGGAATAAAGAAAGAAACCTTGAAGTCTGCACAGCCAGATTTTATCAGGCATGTCACGGGCACAGTCATGTCAATCTTCATTTCTAGTGGAGAGGATGAAAAGTTGTTTTAAGTTGCAAGCAAGGGCAGTGCCTGAACGCTACTGTTTTAAAGGGTGATGCAGATGTATCCTAAAAGCAGATACTAAAGCAGTCTGACAGGTATAATGGCCCAATGGAGTAATGAGACCAGGGAAGGGAGCCTGCTGTCCCCCACAGTTCATCTACTGTTTTATGCTATGCAGCTTCATCTCCCCTTTGTGTTTCTCTCATTTCAAAACCAGTAGGTTGTACCTTTCTCATTCTTCCCTTGGATGTAGTGGAAGAGTTTCCAGAAGCCCTGACGCATTGCCTCCTTCTGGGTTTCTCCCCTAATGACTGTGCTGACCCACTTTGCTGTCTCGTACTGACGCAGTTCATAATCCTTTGCCTGAAAGGTAGTAAAAGTCACAGTAATAATGAGATGAGTATTGAAGGTGACATAATAGCTACTTTTTCCAAATCATCATGAAAATACTATTTAATGAGAACACTGAGCAACCTCTTTGCTGCAGACTCTAGGCGTACCCCTAGTGTCAAACTGTTTGCTTCTATTGCAAAACCATTCTTTGCCTTAGGCTGAGCTCCTCAGAGCTTATAAATAGGTGTACCTCTCCCTATTTGTAATTAGGTGTGAGCAGTGTCTAACGTTCCCAGGTCCCCTGTGGTCATCAAACAATCCCAAATCCACCTTAGCCTTGCAGTACTCTGACTAGAGGTCTCTCTTCCCCTGGGCTTTAGCAGTTACCATTGTCTCTGTGGAGCTCCACCGAGGGGACTGCAGATCCAGGGACAGGAACGTTTGCTTGAAGGATTTGATCATCTTTCCAGAGCTGAAAGGCAGATGCAGTTCATTGGCCTCTCTTCAATCGATACAGTATAAATGGGGCAGAAGAAAGCACTAGGGCTTTTTGCCCTATGTTTTGATTTTCTCTGGAATAATGAAAGGCTTGAATTCTATTGCTTATCCCCAGTGATACCACAAGAAGGGATGAAATCCTTTTAGCCCTGAAGGAGGCAGGACCAAGAAATTACACTGATGTGGGAGTGTGTTCATCTTTCAGGATATGCTGCCTTCGCTTCCCTATGAAGTGGAGGCTTTTCCTGGCTGCAAAAGAGAGAGTTGAGAGTCTGCGAGTGGCAGTTTTTTGGAAATCTGTAAGTAAGATGGAGTTGAAGAGTTCAGCCAATGTGCTTCTGGGGAAAAGGTATTGGTGTTGATGTATACTCTGGTATTGGCTGCTCATAGATTTATTGGGTCTCTCATAACATCTGATGCTTTTCTGAAGGCCTTTAGCCTTAGAGTCTTATCAATAGATGAGATTTTTCTGGATTTCTGAATGTAAATAAAGTAGCATACGAAGGCTACTTAGGTAGCCTTCTTTCTTTCACTTCCAAAACAAAGCAAGTGGAAATCATCAAAATCACTATTGAAATAACCACATCTGGTTAAAGATCTTGAGGTTTCAGCAGCCTTCATTTACGATTTTTGCCGTTACCAGGTAGATTGTAATGCACAACCTACATGAGAAAGTCTGCTCTGGATTGCATTACAATGTCCTTTGTGCTTCATGTTGCAAAGACAGCATGTCTCTCGATTCTTAGATTGTAGTACATTGTCTTCCAAGAATATAGACATAATTGTACGTTTCTTGGGTAACAGAGCAAACTTTGAAATTATTTTTTATTTCTCAGCCTCCTCAAACTGCTTATAGCTGCCCATTCAACAAGAAGCCACTGCCCTGTCATTCATGGCTCTACTTTTTTTCATGGGCTTTTAGTAGTACAGGTGCACTGATGCCATTCACAGCATGTCCCACCTGCAGTGTTAAGGGTACAATATGTCTCTGGGCAGTGAGAGGAAATGATGTTACCTAGGACTGCCAACTAAGACAAGTCTGTTCTTGAGGTGCATAGCAATGTTTTGTGTTGCAGTGGTTTCATAAATATGAACAGTGGACCATTCATAATTTGTAATAATAATTTTTAATGTCTTTAAGGTATGCCGTCTTTTAAAATGATGATTTGTGACTATAAGACCATGGCTGCTTTTGTAAAATCAAGAACTGCCTTGTGCTACCTGACTACTCTCTTACCTGTTTACATTTTCTTAGGATATGCAGACTACTGATGAATACTGTTAATCCCCTCCTGCACTCTAGTTTAGAGGTAGCTACAAGAAGTTTTCTCTTTGGGATCTATGAGGTTGAAGAGCTTTTATAAAAAACATAACAAACCACAAAACACCAAAAAATGCCAAAAAACTGCAGGCACTGAGTTCACTTACAGTCCTTTCAGTAGTGCACAGAGCACTCAGTGTTGAGCTTTTTCAGTTGTCACTTGAAAGCAAAGGAAGGTGGGAGAACCACATAGCAGGACAGCGATAACAGCAGTTAAAAGCAGGCACTGTCCCCCTCCTTGTCCCAGGCTGAAGATGCATCCAGCCTTTACCAGGATGACTGCTCACCAGGGACTGCTGTATGATCCTAACCAAGCTGGACAGTTGTGCTCTAATAACACTTTTTGTCAATAGTGTTTAGAAGTCAGTAAAGCAGGAATCCTATAATTTTAATAGAAGCAAATATGAACAATTATACTAAAACTTTCTATAGTAACTTTTTATCCATTGCTATTTCTAAAGCAAAGATGCTGCTTTGCTGTCATTTCCCTTCTTGCTAGAACTTGATAGAAAGCGCATTGCTCCCCTTCATGTGCTCTCTGGGTGTATGTTACAAAACAGAAAAATAAACATTTCCCTGTTTCAGCACATACTGTTGTAGCTGCTATACAAGTTGCCTTTTCTCTGAACTTGCCAATTCCAGCCCCTCTCCCACGTACCTTTTCTTAAGGGTTGGTTAACTCTCACAGCTCTATCTTGTGTAACTTTGTGGCCAGTACTGTTGGTGACTGCATGCAAGATTTTTTTTTAATTACATGAAACAATGCTTTGGGGGGTGGGGGTGGAGAAACAAACTGAGAAGAATCCTCCAAATATTTACAGTTAATTTTTAGATGTACAGGAAAGCTGTTTTGAGATTTCCATCCGTTCGTATAAATAGTTTTTTAAGGCTTTTTCTGCAGCTGTTAACACATGGGCCAAAGGGACAGGAAGCATAGTAGGCATTTTCATAGGTTACAATGATGCTACAAGTAAACATGGCCAAAACATGCCATTCCACAAGCTGTTAATTACATTAACAAAGTGGAGAAAGTAGACATACTTACATTTTAGGCTGTCCTTATCCTTCTAGCTATTGCAGCCTGTCCTTCTGAGGCTGTACAAGATGCTGCTTGTCAGTGTATAGTTTAGCTTCATCAAACTCCACCCGTGCCTCAGCCCTACTGGATGGAGATGCTGTTATGAAAACCAGATGGTTGTAGCCTTTGCCTCCTCTGGCTCTCATTGGAGAGCTCCCCCGCAAATGCCGAAAGCCCCACCTACTGCCCACGAGGCAACCAACATTAGGTCCAGTGTGTGATCTGGCCCCATAAACAGTTTTGGGCCCTTGTGTAACTTCCCCTGGTTTCTATGGCTTTGTGCCTACTCACATCAGGGTCAGAGGAAGGTTTTGTGCTTGCAGGAGAAAGAATTTCACATAAATAACATCCCCCCCAAACATGGGTTACATGAGAGTGATGGTACAAAATGACAGCTTTTCTTTTTTTACCCCTGGGGTAAAATGGTAGGTAGAAATCTGGCTGCAAACTAAGCTGAGACCATCCTCATGAGACTTCTGCTGGCATGTTATGAAAGACAGACAGTGTTATACAATGGCTGTCTGTTTTGAGTGGTATTTGAGACTAATCAGCCCCCCTAGCCCTTGAATATCTGCACAAAGGGATTATACAATGCTATTGTGAAATTCTGTCCTGCTTATAGTACACAGAGTGAAGCTGGACTCTTCATTTAAGCAGCTGCAGCTTCAGACATACTTGGGTACCAGCACAATAGGGCAGATTAAATTTCACAGTTTGAGTTCTGATAACACCTCCCATATTTGTCATGGTTTGTACAAATCCCTTGCAGCCGAATTCAGCTAAGCTCTCTGGAACATCTGAAATCAATAGCTGAGAAAGACTTTTAACAGGAAAAACATTTTGCTTGCAGAGAACTTCATCAGGATGCTGTGTGATACACTCCTATTCTGAAAGGGGAAATAAAAAAAAAAACTCAAACCATGGCAAATAACAATCCAAATTTATCTATCTCTAATGCCACCAAAGTGGGGTGGTGTAAAGAGTGGTTTACTAATGGAGCCTATTAGAACACGTTAAGGCCTGAAATGCAGAACCAGTTCTCTGCATGCTTTGTACTCTTACTTTACAAACTTTCTCTCAATTTTACCTGTCTTCTGCTTGGGTCACTCAGGAAAACCAGCAGGGCATTCTGCAGAAGCAGAAGCTGCTACTTCATGGTCTTTGCTCAGGACCTAACAAGCTTGCAAAGGCATGTGCTTGTGTAAGGTGAGCTGTTCTGTTAACTCTTAACACTCCTGTCAGGTGTGTGTTAGTAATTATTTTCTCCAGCATAGAGAAGGTCAAGCAAAATAGTACACCCAGCCACAAAAGTTTGGCAAATCTCAACAAATCTACCCCAGTCATGAGCACAGAGAAGTACTGCCATGAAAGGCGGGCAATTAATCTGTAGATAAACACAAGCCCGCTGTGGATTCTCGTTTTGTTTCAGAAGCAGAGAGGCCCAGAACAAATCCCCAGTCAGTTTGTATGTGTCCAGCTGATGTCCCTGACAAAGAGCTAACTGTTCCTGGGGGAGCAGCCTGAGGTTGGAGAACAATCATCAGTGTTTTCCTCAGGGCTTGTTTTCCAACATTCTTGTTTTTCACATATACATTGAGAGAACATGTCAACAGTTGGAAAAGACAGTAGGGCAGGCATGAGGACATGAATTCTGTACATAACATACCTACCTAATCTGTACATAATTAGGGGGATGGGAAAGGGATTATGATGAAAGCTGACACACAGTCTCACTGGTACCTCCAAAAAGAGGAAACTCTGAGAATGCTAACTCTGTACCCCTTGCCCTTTACACAGGAAAATCATAGAATCATAGAATAGTTAGGGTTGGAAAGGACCTTAAGATGATGAAGTTCCAACCCCCCTGCCATGGCCAGGGACACCTCGCAGTAAACCATATCACCCAAGGCCTCGTCCAACCTGGCCTTGAGCACTGCCAGGGATGGAGCATTCACAACCTCCCTGGGCAACCCATTCCAGTGCCTCACCACCCTAACAGGAAAGAATTTCCTCCTTATAGCCAATCTAAACTTCCCCTGTTTAAGTTTTAACCCATTACCCCTTGTCCTGTCACTACAGTCCCTAATGAAGAGTCCATCCCCAGCATCCCTATAAGCCCCCTTCAGACACTGGAAGGCTGCTATGAGGTCTCCACACAGCCTTCTCCAGGTTGAACAGCCCCAACTTTCTCACCCTATCTTCATATGGGAGGTGCTCCAGTCCCCTGGTCATTCTCGTGGCCCTCCTCTGGACTTGTTCCAACAGATCCATGTCCTTTTTATGTTGAGGATACCAGAACTGCACACAATACTCCAGGTGGGGTCTCACAAGAGCAGAGTAAAGGGGCAGGATCACCTCCTTCAACTTGCTGGTCACACTCCTTTTGATGCAGCCCAGGATACAGTTGGCTTTCTGGGCTGTGAGCGCACACTGCTGGCTCATGTTCATTTTCTCATTGACCAGCACTCCCAAGTCCTTCTCTGCAGGGCTGCTCTGAATCTCTTCTCTGCCCAACCTGTAGCTGTGCCTGGGATTGCTCCGACCCAGGTGTAGGACCTTGCACTTGGCATGGTTAAACTTCATGAGGTTGGCATCAGCCCACCTCACAAGCGTGTCAAGGTCCCTCTGGATGGCATTCCTTCCCTCCAGCGTATCAACTGAACCACACAGCTTGGTGTCATCGGCAAACTTGCTGAGGGCGCACTCAATCCCACTGTCCATGTCAGCGACGAAGGTGTTGAACAACATTGGTCCCAACACCGATCCCTGAGGGACACCACTCATTACTGGTCCCCAGCCGGACATTGAGCCATTGACCGCAAGTCTTTGCATGTGGCCATCCAGCCAGTTCTTTATCCACCGAGTGGTCCACCTATCAAATTGATGTCTCTCAAATTTAGAGACAAGGATGTTGTGTGGGACAATGTCAAACGCTTTACACAAGTCCAGGTAGATGACATCAACTGCCTTACCGCTGTCCATCAGTTCTTGTAGCCCCACCATAGAAGGCCACCAAATGGGTCAGGCAGGATTTCCCCTTAGTGAAGCCATGCTGGCTGTCACCAAGCACCTTGTTGTTTTTCATGTGCCTTAGCATGCCTTCCAGGAGAACCTGCTCCAAGATTTTGCCAGGCACAGAGGTGACACTGACTGGTTTGTGGTTCCCTGGGTCATCCATTTTCCCCTTCTTGAAAATGGGGGTTATATTTGCCTTTTTCCAGTTGTCGGGAACTTCACCTGACTGCCATGATTTTTCAAACATGACAGACAGTGGCTTAGCAACTTCATTCGCCAGCTCCTTCAGGACCTGCGGATGGATTTCATCAGGACCCATGGAGGTGTGCACGTTCAGATTTTTAAGATGGTCTTGAACCAGATCCTCTCCTACAGTGGGCCCAAGGTCTTCATTCTCACAGTCCCTGTGTCTGCCTTCCAAGACTTGGGTGGTGCGGTCAGAGCCTTTGCCAGTGAAGACTGAGGCAAAGAAGTCATTCAGAACCTCAGCCTTCTCCAAATCCAGGGTAGCCAGTTCTCCTGAGAGCTTCCTGAGGGGGCCTATGTTCTCCCTAGTCTGTCTTTTATTCGCTACGTACCTACAGAATCCCTTCCTGTTATCCTTAACATCCCTAGCCAGCTTTAATTCTAACTGGGCCTTAGCTTTTCTCACCTGGTCCCTAGCTTCCCAAACATCCCTGTTCTCTTCCCAGGCCGACTGTCCTTGCTTCCACCTTTTACAAGCCTCTTTTTTCATTTGAATTTTCCTCCGCAGCTAGTTATTCCATCCAAGGAGGTCTCCTGGCCCTCCTGCTGCACTTCCTTCTAGTCAGGATGCAACACTCCTGGAGCTTCATACTGATATTCATATTGATATTCAAGGTGATCCTTGAATATCAGCCAACAGCCTTGGGCCCCCCTGCCCTCTAGGGTTATATCCCATGGAACCTTACTAAGCAGGTTCCTGAAGAGGCCAAAGTCGGCTCTCTTGAAGTCTAGGGCAGTGAGCTTGCTGCACGCTCTTCTCACTGTCCTGAGGATCTCTAATTCAACCATCTTGTGATCGCTACATCCAAGGCTGCCCTGCAGTGTCACATTTCCAATGAGCCCGTCCCTGTTGGTGAGCACAAGGTCAAGCATGACACCTCTCGTCAGCTCCTCTATTACTTGCAGGAGGAAGTTGTATTCCACAGAATCGAGGAACCTCCTGGATTGCTTGTGCCGGGCTGTACCATCGTTCCAACAGATGGCTAGGTGGTTGAAGTCACCTATGAGAACAAGGGCCTGTGAGCGTGAGGCTTTCCTAACTATCTATAGAGTGCTTCATCCGCAGGTTCTCCTTGATCAGGTCAATAACATGGAAAAACTGTTTTAGCACCTTGAGGTCCCAGTAGTTTGCAGCGTATATGACAGAGAAGTTCAACAGCATACAGCAATAATTAGGTCTCAAAGGTATACTATGACATTTGTATTTAATGTCATAAATACATGTCTCGGACTTGGCTGGTATTTTCTAGAATAGCTGACAAAGCAGTGTTTTTCTGTACTGTTGCTTTAAACTCAGGGAATAGAAGTGAGAGCACAAGCACATCAAAGCATATGGTTTGTGGCTTTACTGTTTTCAGCAGGCACTTCTGCACAGAACACTGTGGTAAGCTTGTATTTCAGTAATGGCTTTTCAGACTAACAGCTTCCATTGGATAAGTGTAAGGACAAGCCTGTAATATGATCACTTGTGACTTCCATTTGTTTGCTTTATAGACCCTATCTATAACAAGCTCAGACAAGACCTTAAGCAACATGCTACATAGGAAAAATGCTTACGTCTGCTCTGGGGCAACAAGACAGCAGCTGCTGTCAAATCAATGCAATCTTCTTGTAAGTTCCTTTATCCCTACAGGCAAGCATAGACTACTTGCACAGAAAAGATGAACCTTTTCCACTGACCTGATTGTGTCAGAATTGGATAAGAATGGGAAAAAAAGTTCTGTTGCAGTATGGTTAATGATAACTTTGAGTCATGTTCTTGTAACTGACAAGTCTGTAGTGTAGTATGAAAAAACTGTGAGTGAGGGATGCATCTATCTCCAGTCTGGCCACTCGTAAGTTGTTCTAACAAGTGGTTTCAACCTGAATGCTCCAGTTTTGCATTTCTGCCTAAGCCTGTCAGAACATCAGTTAGCCTTGTGTTTGATAATTATCTTAATTTAAAAGAGCTGAGACTCTTCACACATAAATGGCATTTGCTTCTACAAACATGCACTTATCGGATGATGCAGAAACTCTCACTTCACAAGAAAGATATTGAGCATGTGATGTTACTGTAAATAATAGTCCAGGGCAGCAAAAGTATCTTTATATGTTGTTAGATGAACTGATTTCTACATACTCATCTCCCAAAAGAAGCCTCCTATCTCCTTGCTCTAAAGAAAGAGAAGGCTTCTAGCAAATTCCATTTTTTAGATATTAAAGGTGAGAGAGAATACACCACCTTTGCAAACACAACTCTGAAGAGGAAAGAGCCAGGCATCAATCGTTTGAGAACGTTACACAAAGAGAGGGTTCAAAATAACAGCCTTAAGGAGAACAGACATTTACTGATTGTTTCTTATCAGTAGGAAAGCTCAGTATTTGAAGTCACCAACATTCCATACCACAAATAATGCTTTCTAGCAGTACATAGAAACAAAGTAGATAACAGCTACACAACAGAAGTGTTAATACAGCAGCAGTCCAAGTATCACCTGCATAGACAGCCTCTCCAGATGAAGGTAGGAGCTCAGTATCAGTTTCAGCAAGAGTAATTTTTGTATCTGCATCTTCCAGCAGTCCCTTGGGCAGATACCCTTTGCCCTATCTTTGTGGGCAGGAGCACAGTGGCTTCTCACTTTCTTTATTTGATCCACCT